CTCAATCTTTCCTACCACAAATATTCCTCATAAAGTCCCTACTTTTGGTCTTGTGAACTCCTATCTCTTCACCTACCAAGGCCTAGCTCAAATATCACCTCATTTGAGAAATTTTCCCCCATGGCTCCATATTACTAACTACTCCTTTCTCCTGGTTTAGGTAACATTTTATTCATATCTCTCATACCACACTTACGTGATAAGTCAAGTTCATCCATCTGTCCTCCACACTAGCTTGTAAGCCTCTTGACAATGAGTCTGATTACATTTTCAGCATCTTGAACAGTGTGGGACACATATAAGCTTCATGATGAAGAAGTAAATAATTTTACTACAGTGTAATAGTTCCCAGAAGTCAATGCTTGTTTTCTAAACTGTTACTATACCCCGTCAACAACTTAAGAATATTACGCTTTCTCCCTAAAATTTGCATCTGTTAGTGAGCAACTTTGGTCATGGTTAACTCAGTCGTGACTTGCCCTCTGGCCAAGCCCAATGATAATTCTCCCCTTAGGTGATTTTTGTTTGTTTGCTTTTTGTTTGTTGTTTTAATCTATAGGAACGTTCTGTAGACTTCATTATCTTTTTATAAGTCTGTGCCTTTGCACCTGCTGGTCCCTACTTGGAATGCTGCCTCAAGGATTTATACACCTGGAAAGCATTCCTACTCATTCTTAAGAACCAGCTTAAACAATGCCTTCTCTGGGAAGCTTTCATATCCTTCCATCCTTTCAGGAAGTTAGGGAATTCTTCAAGTCAGGCATTTGTGCATTTATTACCATATATCAGGCACTGAACTAACGATAGAAGGATACAGATGTTGATCCTGTCCTCATGGAACTCAAAGTCTAGTAAGACAGCCACACGAACAAATAACCACACTATAATAATGTTAAGTGCAACACCAAAACGAAGATCTTTTAAATATTTGACATGTGTCAATTATCTTGTTAGGTGTTTTATTAAACACTGCCTATAATCATGTTAGAAAGGTATTTGAATTGGGCAGAAGTCCATGAAACTCTAAGGACTGCTCTACCCTCAATTGTTTTCTGAAGAAACTGTCTCCAAAGGGGTCTTTTCATATATATTACAGTCTGTGTCACAGAAAAATACATGAAACTAATTCTACTACTTTGGCCACTGGACCAGACTCAGAGCTCTAAGGACAATCCACAGCTTGAACTTAAGGGAGATTGCCTAGGACATGGCTTGGTTCAAAATTCTTCTCAGTAGGGATCCTCCATTTTAAAAGGTGACAAACCAACCCAATCAGATGCTCCCTCATAGGAAACACAATTCTGGGTGAACAAGCTCTGGTCTCCAGAGCTCAAATCCTATTTGAAATACTGCTAAATTATTGTTTTATAAGGTTTTGAAAGCACTAGGGTCAAGGGACAATATGGTGGCTGAGATGATATCCCACTAAAGTTTACACTAAACCCTCATCATCAAAAGTAGTACGTGTGTGACTCTTTCTTCCAACCCACAGGGACCTAGCACATCACATCATCACTTTTGAAATTAGGAAACAGGCTTAAAAAGTTCAACAGCTTGACCAAATTCACTCAGTTGCTGGGTGGCAAAGGCAGAAATCAAAGACCTGGCTAACTTGATTATTTTAGAATATCCTGTCAGTAACATGGAAAAAATGACCTCAAAAACAACTATTAACAAGTAGAGAGGCTCAAAAGGAAGAGCGTATGCACAGAGGAAAACACAACTGTTCAGGAAATCAGTGTACTAGGGCATGTGAAGCTGGAGGGGCCACACTGGGTATCACCTTGGCCAAATTAATCTCTAATTCCCTGAGCTCCAGGCTGTTAGCTATCTGTCTTTCCTATTCAAATTTAACATCTATAAGGGTAGCAGCTTAATCTCTAGTTTGTTCACCACAGTCTAAAACAGAACCTGGCTTATAGTAAGTGCTTAATAAATATTTGTTGAATAAATGAATAAGTGAATAAATTCTCAAAGACGCTAAAGGCACATTCCACAGTGGACTGCAGGGACGGTTACCATGAAAGACTCCAGGGTTGATCTTCAAGTACAGTTGACCCTCATTATTTGTGTATGCTCTATTTGTGAATCTGCTTACTTGCTAAAATTTTATTTGAACCCCAAAATCAATCCTGGTGGTGCCTTTGCAGTCATTCACGGATAGGCACAGAGTAGCAAAAATTTTAAGTCACTCCTGGAGCACATTCCCAGCTAAGGTCAAACTAAGCAGTGCTCTGCATTTCAGCTCTCACGGGAGTGACTAAGAAACAGACAGTAGGGGGCAGCGTAGTGCAGTGCAAGGAGCTCGGGCTCATGGGCCAGTAGGACAGGGTTTGAGCCCTAACTTCCGCACTTGTTAGGGATTGGCCTCAGGCAAGTCACTTAACCCTTCTGAACCTCATTTTCTCTTTTGTAAAATAAGGAAAACAGAATCTACCAGGATGGGTTGTATTCAGGATTTAAGATAAAAATCTATGTGAGAAATGTACATATTTTCCTTAGGAACAACGGCTCAGTATTTGCTAATTTAGAGTTCTGTGTGACTTTATAGACCATAATCACTGTCAATAATGAGAGTCAACTTAATTATTTATAACAAAATAACAGAAATATATAGAAAACAATTATTTGGATAGAGTGTAGGCAGTGGTAGGCTTCAAGATGATTTTGAAATCGGACCTCATCAGGCACATAAGGTGTGGAAAAGGCTTGAAAGAAGAGAGAAGAGTGCCTGCAGACAGGCCCAGGTATGTGAAGTAAACAGGTAGGTTCAGGCAATGGCACTTTAGAAAGTCTAGAGCAGTAGGAGATGAGGAAGAACACAGGGCCACAGTGCTTCTCTGGGTCCTGTACATCCCCTACACTGCAGAATCTCTCCCTCTGCATTTAATTCGTGGTTTACAGGTCTCTTTTCCATTAAACTATGAGCTCCTTAAAGGCAAGGAATCTAGGAAGAAATCACAGCTACAGTGCTCTAAATTTGCAAAGAAATAATTACTAAGCATAAACATACTTGAAAAGACTGTACAAAAATAACTAGTTTTCCAGTGCAGCCTTATACCAACTCACAATAGTGACTAACACATAGGTTTGCAATTTGTCTAGGACTTTAATTTGATGACTGGTAATAATTCTGTCATAAATCTTTTTATTGTTCTAGACACCTGGGCATTTGTTACAACAGTTTTAAGATATTCCTTTTTTCAGTGTGATTTTTTGTATTAACAGGGCTCAAACATATGGTCCATTAGACAACGCTGCCTCCTCAGAGTAAAGATTCCTTTTAATTCATTCTACTAGACCTATTTCTCTATATACAAGATACAGTATTACCGCAGTAAAATACAAGGTAGCATATTGATATATATATGTCACAAATAGGATAAGGAAAACAATGAGAATTTTTCACAAAAGTTTGTGAAATTCTGGCCAAAACACAGTGGACATGATGTTAAACTCACTGCTTACATTTCCCCACTAGGAACTAGGAAAAATAATTCCAATTTATGTAACGTCATGAAACTAAGCACCTACAAGGCTTTGTATCCGTGTTTTCTCCCCTCCCCCATCTCCCATTTCCACGCACACAGGGTAAAGGCCCCAACAGGCTTATCCCAATACTTTGATTTCCTCCATCCCCTCAAACAAAATCCTCACTGTTCAATATCTAAATTAATATTTTCAAAACTCTGAAGTCTCAATCAAAACTAAGTATGATAAGTTACTTTTTCCCCGTAAAATTCTTGACATATTTTATTCAGGCACAACAAAGTTTGTACTTTTATCTGGAAACATATGGCTATAACCAAAACTATTGAAACCCAAACTAAGATACTATGAAGATAAATACAATGCTGTTTTTAAACAGATTCAATGCTATATTATCCACAGTCTGGGTGTGATCAAATCACATTATGCTATACAGCTAAAGTATATCCTATATTTTATGACAAAGTAGGGTGGTCAGGCCCTTACACTGCAAACTCTGGGAGACTCCAGCTGAACTGTTTAAAGTATAATCCAATCCTATCCACTTGAAAAATAAAACATTTTAAAATGTCTTGCTGCCAGCAAACCCTTCTCATTCGCATTTTCAAAAATTATCATCAAAACAACTGTAATGGGACAAAGATTCTAGAAAGGATATAATGATCAAATGCCATTTTAAGGAAGGCAAGAATGGTTTACCATGAACAAAACCGATTAAAGTTTCCAGCCTTGCAAAGCTCCCTCTATAGTGTATTCTGCCTCTCTCGCGTCCACCTTCCAGCTGCCTGGAAGGGGCAAGTGGAAAATGTTAGTTTCCAAGAGAGGTGAGAATGAAATTTAGGGGGTGGGAGGGAGTAAAGGACCCATTCGTTGAGGGGAAGGATGAAGCGAAGTGGCTAAGGTCCGTAACTCAAATTAGGTATCAAGAATGAGGGCTAGAGTAACGCGGAAAGCGGAGGGAGTATCAGAAACGCAAATAATGCACGGGGGCCCGCGAAGGGGAGAGGGCCGATAATGCGCAACTCTTTCCCCCTCCCCATTTTGGGGGGGGTGGGGTACGGAAGGAGGCTGCACTGGTCAATTTGCCTAGCAGTGGTGCACCGGGGCAGTAAAGGGACTCGCAAGCCTGAGGTTTCAGTCCGAGTGTTACAAGGGGGCTGAGGGAGTCCAGGGAAGCTGGGAGTGGGGTAAGAATAGCGCGCCAGTGGGGGGAGAAAGGGACTAAAGACCGCATAGCGCCTCCGAGGGGCAGGGGCTGACCCCAGCGGACGCCCTTTCTCGCCGGCCG